AATTGGTGACTGGAGAAAGGAAGGGTGATTGCCATGAGATTCATAGAAATAATTAAAATCATCAGCAAAAGAGAGAGCTCTCTTTCTGCCCATAATAAAATACTGATGTCAAATTGATAGGTTTTTAATTTTTTCATTATATATCTCATCAAATAGATAGTTAGGGATAAGCTAAATGTATTTTGACTTATTTTGTTTTAGTTTTTCTTACCTAGTTCAGATAAAAAAATAAGTTATTAGCAGTATAAATATTCAGTATTATTCAGTTCTCTGAGTAAAAGAGTATGTAATGCCTTTGGATGGAATCATGCTTTATTTTCTTATTTATGGTTCCTCCTACGTTAGAGCTAGAGTACTGGATCCTCTTCTCCCATCAGCTTATAGGATTATTCTGAAACAAAGACCCATATTTCCTTGGCTATTGGATTGTCCAGAAGGCTAGAGGTACATTTTTGCTGCAGTTATCATGTTTATGAAGATCTACACTGCCTTAAAGTGTTCTACAAATTCATTAAAGATCATATTTAAAAATCAGAGTAAATAAAACTCATTTATGGGACAGCGTAGGTATCCATTGCAATCTGAACTACCTGCCCAGAGTCCAGAGCATTTCCCCTTTACTGTGTGCAGAGGTACTCTTTAAAATCTGAAGACAATACTTAGTGCTAGTATAAATTTTTCCAAATGGCTGGTGTCTCCTGCATTTACAGCATTTTAGTATCTGAGCACCTATACTTTTTGAATATTTTAAGTATCGTAGAAGCCCAAAGGGTAGGTCAGTGCTCCCATCTGTCTTGCAAGATGCAAAGTGACATTCTGAATGTGACACAAATATCACAGCAGAGTGTACCTAGAAATGGAGCTCATTGCCATGGATTTCAATCAATTTTCTTTAAAAAAGTCTCTCAGTTCTTAATTTGTCTGATACAACCCAATTTAGGGTGTTAAGACTGATTATTCAGGGGCAAACCTTGAGTGGTCCATACAGTGTAAAAATACAGAGTTGTTTTCTTAAACAAAATGATCCATTTTCACAGAACTCCTAACTGGAAGAAGCAGTTACAAACCACTGGCTGGGGTGATTCCCACCCCTCCACCCCCACTGCAGGGTACTGCATGTCAGCAACACCTGTACAGGGCCCAGCGGCTTGTGCTACACAAAAAGCATTTCTGCCAGAGAGGGTCCAGCCTTGATCTGAAAATCGGGAGATCTATATTCTGCTGCCATTTGCAGCTTGTCTGGTTGCATCTTGCATTAATTCACCAAATACCTGCCTCTGCTGACTGAGTCCTCACCACCATCTCCCTGTACAAGTTGTGTTGTGCAGGCGGACCACTCCTCAGATAGACTTCAGGGCTGATAAAATCGGAGCTGCTGCCTCCAGGGTTTTGAATACCGCTTTAGGTCTTTCTTGTGCATCTCCAGGATTTCACAATGTAATTTTAAAGATCTGTAGACCAGAACTGAACTTTTAATTCCATTTTTGCTCACGCTGCTTTTTCTGAAAGGACGAGATATATTGGAGGAGTGCGTTACCCCTCCTTGCCACACTTGCTCAAGCAGGCTCACTGCTGGAGCCTCCTGCCAGGTTCAGGCTTGTGGCACTCCGGATGCAGGCTGTCATTTCAGAGATGTGGCTAGAACCTGTCATCCAGGGGTTTTTCAGTTTTACATTTGACATTTGTATATTGTGTTATTGTGCAACTTCTTTTTTATTTCTTTTCTTCCCCACCTGCCCCGCTCACGCCGTCCCAGCAGTGGAGGAGCATGTTTTGGTTTGTTGTTCCTTTCAAATGGCCTCAAGCTGGAGTGATTTGGATTTCTCTGTATAATCGTCCTGTCCTGATTCATATCTCTGCCAGTCTAAGTTATCTGCTCCAAATTTTGAAATGTGTATTTCCATCATTGGAATGATGGAAAAACCATTGGGATTTACACTCTGAAACATCACTCTAAATATTGTGATTTGATGCTATTTTCCTGTTTGCAGGTACTTTGGAGACCTGACAGATAGCCTAAGCATTGATCCTATACTTTACTGAATGGCATAGCTGAGTGTGTAAGTTAGGCCACTGAAGACAAAATGTAGTGGAGTTGGGTGAGACGAAAAGGAAGTAGTTCTCTTATGTTCAGGCAATTTACATGCGTGGTTTGTTCAGTTCTGTTTCTAAGTACGTATTGAACATGACGTTCTTTATGTCTGAAATAGTAGCAGAATAACCTAGTGGTTGCTAAGGTAATGAGAACCCACCGTTCCCTTACCAATTCATGTAAGTAAAGTATGGAATTTAATTTCAGTCTGTGTTACCTGAGGCAGCTCTGGCATCTGATAAAAAAATGATCTTCACATTCTTATCCTCTTCCTTTCTGAATTTCATTGAAATACTGAGATGTTTCTCTTTTTGTAAATAAATGAGGCTGCCCTGTAGATGGTGGGGTAGAAAGTAGACTAAGAATTACATCTTTTGTCTTACAGCTGTTTTTACTCTCAAAGTATATTTGTCTTCCTGCTGAAACACTTCTATTGCTTGTGATAGGGACTGAAGATTTGACTGCCATAAGAGTTCTTCTTTCTGTTTTTCTCTTGATGAAGAACTTACATGTTTATTGTCTGTTCTGGTGCTGTGGTTTGAAAGCACAGCATGAGCATGAATCCTAGATTTATTTCTTCATCAAAGGAAGGAAGGTTCCTTTCTGATTGTGTATCAAAAAGCAACATGGTAAAAACAGAAATTTGCAAACACAGGCCACGATTAGGTGAATGACTGAGATGCTTACCTGGTGAAATGATTTTTGACAAGGATTGTCACTGCTTTGGGAGTGCAGGCAGCAAACAAGAAATCTGAAGGGGCTCTGACCAGTGTGCAGCCAGGCAATGCTGCACCCCAGGCCACTTTGACTTCGTAATGGAAAAAGAGAATCTGTATTGAGCTACTCAGCAGCTGATCAATCACCTGAGTCCACCAGGCTGGCCTTGCAAGGTTCTATCTCTTACCTTCATGAAGAGCAAGAAGAAACAGCTGAGGCATAGGATGGAGTTACGCTTGGAGTAAGGGGATCTATTGTAAGAGAAAGGCAGCTTGTTATGCTGCATTATGCACCAGCAGAATAGTATTCCTGCTTTTTTATGCTACAAATTGTGAAACAATGAATGTCTTAACCATGTCAAATTGATACCGAGTCATGGGTCACTTGCAAATGTAAGTTGCCACAAGTGGGCTATTTTAGCCTAGTAACTGTTTGGATGTCAAGACTTTATATTCCAATAGTCTGTTTGCTCAGAGAAGTGGATCAGGGAGGTGAAGTGGACAGCTGGCATAATATATGGACACTTGAACCTGGAAACGAAAAGACAGCTGCTGGATCTAATTTTAAACATAGGTCTTGGTCAGATCGCTCTAGACCCTGCGTGTCCTGCTGCAGCAAAGTCGTTAATAGTAGTAGAGAGGCGTGAAGTTGAAGATACTGACAAAGAACTTTAGTGAGGAAGGGAATCACCCTTGTTCCAGTCATGGTATTTCCATTTTTCACAGTAAGTATTGTTAGCTTCCAGAGAATGGGAGTGGAAATGGTTTCTGGCTGGTACATGGTCTAATGCTGCTGACACGGGCAGCTTTTCTGGGGCGTCTTAATGGGCAGTGGGACTCGCTGTCCTGAAAGTACAAGGGCAGCCAGCGCTGTTTCAAACGAGGAAACTATGTAACAGAGTGGGGATTTTCCTAATATTTTAAAATAACACATAGTTACATGTCAGTCAGGTTATAATTCCGAGTTTTTACATCACGGCTCGGGAATGCGGCGGCGTTAGCGGCGGTCTGCAGCCCCATCTAGCGGGGCGCGGCAAATCCTGCTTGCTCGGGTTTGGATTCGGTCGGGGGGGTTTTGGGGTTTTTTTGTTGGTTTGTGTTTTTTTTTAGCAAGTACAAAAAATAACCACGAACAATATCGTACCGATAGAATACTTCATTCGGGATTAGCCAGTTAGACACTTCATTAATTCAGCAGCTGGTTAAGTGTTTTCCAGTTTCTGTTTTGCTTTCAGAATGCCATTACCAAGCTGGGGGGGGGGGTGTTTATTTGTTTGTTTTAAAGTGTGTTAGTATTGTTCTGCTTTATTAGGACTACGATGCTAAAATTAAGGGCTATGGAAACATTTCTGGTATTTGCTCTCTTTAGGAAGTTAGCTAACCTCTGGGAATTTTGGAACCAAGCAGCATATCACTCGTCTGAGGTGAAGATTCCCCTCTGCTAGACCACTCTGTCAACCACAATAGGTTTAGAAGTAACAGCTTTGCTGGTTAATATCTGCTTCAAGAAAGTGAAACGTCCAATTTTTTTAAATATCTGATTTATTTCCTTTTTAGTAACAAGAAACTTGATGAAATAAGAATAAAGAATAAACATAATTTGTGGTTTTATTACAAAACTTTAAACTGCAACTTGAATTTACATCTGTGGAGCTTGGTTAGGGCAGAAAATATAATTATATTTTTCTAAAGGCAGTCTAAGATGGTGTGAATCTCCAATACAGAGAGACAGTCTAAATTAATTAATGATCACATTCAAATAAAAAAGCAGTATGCATTTATCTGTCTTTTTTCCTAAGGCTATCCTAAGTGGATAAAATATATTTATTCTAATGTGGCATATAAAATCTCCATTTAAACCATTGTAAATAGCATGAAAAGAGCTGAGAGCTGGAGTTGTAGGACAGAGGCCATAAATGGCCAAGTAGGAGGTCACATTTCATTTTAAGCGAGGCCCCTAATATCAACAGTATTAGCCCAGCTAGTATTAGATTTGTGTTATATTTAAACCTTCAGCTTTTCTGCCTCCTGCACAAGTGAATGCTGTTCTTGTTGACTGAACTCAAAGGCTTTGAAGTGCCAGCTGCCAAGAGTGGTTTATTTCGAATCTTCTATCCCATGTTTGCCTATGCATCCTTTCTAAGCGTGAATTTTTGTCTGCACCTCCTATTTAATGCTCTTACTGTCAACAGGCTAGTTCAGAAGTACCGAAATTGCGGAAGGAAGATCAGAAAGCACGAAACGCACTCTTGGCTGATATCCAGCAGGGAACTCGCTTAAGAAAAGTGACTCAAATCAATGACCGCAGTGCACCACAGATTGAAAGTAAGTGTGTGCTCCTCAGCAAGGCCTGAGTGAGCTTCACTGAAGCCTCAGGTGTGGGTGGAGATCAGCTGGACAGTTTCACACTGAAGGTTTGAAGTTCAGCACAGGTCTGTATCTTCATATGGCTTTAGGATGCAGAGAGGGGACACTGTCTAAGCTTGCATCCTGCTCTGAGATCAGTAACTATTAACATTTCATGATAAGTCTGTAGCTGGATATCTCCTTAACAGGCATTCCTTGTAAAAAAAAATAAAAAATCATGAATGATTAAATCCTTGAGAGTTTCTCAATAAAAGAATTAAGCAAGAATTGTTGGCTCTTGCAGAAAAATTGTTCTTTACTAGATTAAAAGAACAAAAAATGCCAAAAAATCTTGGAAACATAAATTTAATGTTAGGCCTAACACAACTTCTTCTTCTTCTTGGTGTTATGATTAATGTGAGATTAAAGAGCACCAGAGGGTGCTGTGCTCCAAATTACAGGTCCAAGAGTGATGGCAGTTATGGAATAACAGTAGAGGTAAAAGTCTGGCCTTGGCCGTTTGTTGGTGCCAAGCCTTAGCAGTCTCAGGGCAAGGATGAAATGATTTTCTGATATACCCTGTGTTTTGGTTCTTTTTAACAGAACCCAAAGGAGCTAACAGAGATGGAGTTAATCCAGCTGTCAATAAAGGTGGCTCTCAGCAGCCTCTGGGAGGTTTATTTGCTGGTGGCTTTCCTGTTCTCAGACCAGCAGGCCAGAGGGACATGACAGGTAAGGACTTTATTTGTATGAAAGCATAGCTGAGGGGAGCAGTGATTTTGGATAAAAACACTTTGGGGTTAGCTTTAGTGACTGATTTTTATTGGGGTTTTTTCCTGAATCTTTAGTTCATCATGTGACCATGGAGGGCTCAACTAGTAACATGCTTGAAGCCATCTTTCTAGATCTCAGGTGCCTTATTTGTTAAAGTGTAAATAAAAGGCTTTTTCCACACTGGGTAGGAAAGAGATTGAATAGATGTCTTTAACCGAGCTTTTTACATTATTTTAATGAAAACTTCTAATTGTGCCTCAGAGTGTTGAAATTTGAGCTTATCATTTCAGCACAAATGGCAAAGTCATATTTCCTTCCCTCTATTAGCATATATTTCTGTGGTATTACAGTCTTGGTTGTTACTTTAAAGATTCGTATTAAAGATTTTTGCCCTCTGGACTTTACAAAGTATAGTTTTGATCCAGCAAGGCTATTTATTGACCTGAAAAAGTGTTTTGTTGCTTCACAATGACAGGAGGAAGGCAAATGTGGGAGCCCTACTGTTCCTTTCCCCTCAAGAAGTGCCAGCATCAATGAGGGGTGACTGTTAAGAGTCACAGTGATGACCTCTGGTGCTGTTGGGCAGCTGGTGCCTGATCAGGCAGCACAGAGCAAAGCAGGCTTTTGCAGGGAAAGACTTTGATTCTGCCTGCAGGGTTTTTTCTCTTGGGAGGCAAGCCCAAGATGCACAGCACTGCATGTGATAGGGCTTCCCCACAAAGCTTCAGCTGCAGCAGCTACTTTGAGTTGTTTTTAAAATTGTGGCCATGCCTATCAGACTGTGTGAGTATAGAATGAGATGCCTTTTTTGACATCTTGCTTTGTGATAAATCCTTGACATTTACTCAGGAAAATACATTTTGTAGAGTCGACAGTCTTTGGGCATTTGCTGTTGAAAATATTTGAACCCGTGCCTCCTGGAAAGCCTTTGAGGCATTGCTTTTAAGAGCTTGGCTTTTGTTCATGGGGCTGAGATTTATGTAAAGTTTATGTGAATTTTTTAATCCTAAGCAATTGCTTAATTTCAAGGATGCAATATGATGTGTGTCAAAATACCTTTTCACCAGGACTCAGCGATGCTCAGCTGGCTGTACTAGACAGATGAGGCTGGTGTGAAGGACCCCAGATCTCTGCAGAGAAGCCCCTTTTCCTTAAACTGTTTCATTTTGCAGAAACTGAAGAAGAGGGAGGGGGCTAGGGTGTCTCAGCAGTTCGTCATATAACTAAGCAGAATCCCTTGTGTCTTTGTGCCCATTGGAGTACGTCACATCCTAAGCCCCATTACACCATGAGCAACCTGTTGGATACCAGATGTTTTGGAAGAATTAGTTTAACCCCTTAGAGTATCCACCGGGGAGGGGAAGACGAAGACCTTGCTCTTTGCGCTATTTAGTCTGACGAGTGGGAACGCGGTCCTGCAGGATAACGTGTGACATCCTGTTTTCAGCAGGGAGGCCTGGGCAGGTTTCCGGAATCCGAGCAGCGGCCCCCAAACACTCCACCCCAGCGAACAGCGGCGCTGCCAAGCCGAGCAGTAACCCCTCGCACCCAGCCGAAGGTCCAAGGGCAGCTGTGCCACCAGAGCCTCCCAGCACCTCCCGAGCCGGAGCGGGAGCCGGAGCCGGCCCCGGACGACCCAGCCTGCCCGCCCCCCCTCCACCGCCTCCCGCTTCCAGCAAACCTTCCCTCACTTTCCCTCCTCCTCCCCCTCTCCCTCCTCCGGCCGATCGCCCTCCCAAGGGGGTGACGCCCGGCGCGGCTCCTCCGCCCCCGCTCCCTCCTCCCCAGGCTGACAAACTCGCCAAGTCTCCAGCAGGCGCTCCACACCCGCCCCAACCGCCCCCTCCTCCTCCTCCTCCCCCTCCCCTGCCCCTCGTCCCCCCCTGCGGGCTGCCGGCCAGGACTGCCGATGTCCCTGCGGCTACCGCCCCTCCAGCCGAGGGGAGGGACTGTCCCCCTCCCACGCCGCCTCCCCCCCCTCCGCCGCCGCCCCACGCCCACCCGGTCCCAGCGAACAGGCTCTCCTTTCCCCCCTCCCCAGCCTTTAGCGGTGCTGACGTGCCCCCTCCGCTGCCCCCCAAGTCTCCCCACTTGCTGTCACAGTTCCATAAGCCAAGCAGCATCCAGTCGCTGCCGCTCCCACCCACCCCCGGCCACCCTCAGCCCGCAGCCGGGACAGAGACCAGGAAGAAGAGACCCGGCCGAGGCGCAGGTGAGAGCAGCACGTCGGGAGGAGGGAGGCTTTTTGCTCCCTTTGGCAAAACTGGGAGAAATCATAGAATGGTTCGTGTTGGAAGGGGACCTTGAGGATGATCTAGTTCTTCAAGGTCCCCTTCCAACCCAAACCATTCTATTGCACTGGTGACTGGATGGCTCGGTGGGGTGGGAGTGAAGGGCACTCATGGGAGGAATACCTGTAGGTTACACGGCATGTCATGAACACCCAAAACATCAGGCTTTTTGAGCTGTCAGGTTGTTCTTAGCACGGGGCACACACGTCTTATAATTCAGTCTGCAATTCTTGGAAGCGACATACTGATCCAGAGTTTTAGGACCACTGAGTTGCTTCTTGCTTTTGGTGTGTCTCCAGCTGCACGAGTGGTATCCTGACAAGTTCAGGTAGGGCAGTAGAGTACACACCATGGTGTGTGCCAGGATTGTGGCTGCTTGTGTGTCAGCTAACCCAGGACATTCCTCTACAGCTGTACCCATGCAGGAGCAATATTGGCAACGGCTGGGAAGATTCATAAGAGATAATTAAACAAATATGGGGCAGCTACAGCCATAGATGAGCAAAAGCAAATCAGTATGCAGCCCTGCTGTTCAGCAAACAGGAACAGCCAGTGCCTCTCATGATCAAGGTGAAAGGGCCAAAGGTTTCTCTGACTACTTGGGAACTGGGGTATTAGCCAGTGTTTCCTTGAGCGGATGGTAGAAGGAACTTTTATCGTATTTCTCTGATGTCATGAAGATGATAAAAGAGATGAGCCTAGATCTGTGTGGGTTTGAGAAATGGAGACAGCTACTTAATAAGGAACATTTGAAGAGAATGTTCTGTACCCTCTATTTTAGCAGCCACGTGTCAGAAGAAAGATTACTGGTTCCATTGAGAGCCATGGGAAAGGCCGTGTAAGTAGAGCAGATGAGGTGCTCCGTGATGGTGATTAATGCTGTTCAGAACTGCCTGATGAACTGTTACTTCATCAAGACACCCATTTCTCATGGTGGTTCAACTTTTGCAGTTTCCATAAAATTGTCCTGCCTTTCCCTTGCTTATCTAGAAGGAGAAGCAGTTTTGAGAGGCCTTGGGCTCCCTCCCTCTTACACAATTCTGGTTGTAGGTTGACTCGATGTAAACTTCGACAGCACGTGCAACTCCTCAGTGAAATGCACAAGCCTAATGGTACTTCCACTGCATAAGTGCCAAAGTGTCAGGAAATTATTTTCTTTTAGACATATCATCTAGTTTGGTTGTTTTGTTGATTTTCTTTTCTTAAAGAAACTGCTTGTTCTTGTGTCCTTTCCAGACTGGGACAAAACCACACTTCAGAATGTCACACTTTCCCTAGAACTAGAAATGGAAAGCCCGAGCCAACTCCAATATTGACTTAAATTTAATACTTAATGCTATAAATCCATTTGCAGGCTTGACAAACAGCAGCCATGAAGCTGGGTGTGTTCGTCCCAAATATTGCATTCCTTCTATACTCCCTCCATTTTTTGCAAAGTTTACTGTCAGGTGTAGGTCATGATGATGTTTATGTGCTGGTTTCCTGCTTCTTTTTAAGGAACCGGTGCTGGGAAGCTGGTCACACCTCCACAACCACCAGCAAGATCCCCAACAACTGAACTTACAAGCAAGTCTGGAGTCTCAGCCTGGGCTACAGCTCATGACCCCTACCCACCACTCAAAAATGGAAATATGCACATCATTGGTAATATCATCTAAATTAGATCTCTTAGCCTTAGTTAATAATTTTAGTACAAAGGCCTGTGTGTGTCTCACACCTCAAAAACTCACTTGAGACTTTCTCCTAGCAATAGCAGGGTTGTGTAATAGAAACATTTTTGTACAACCTTATACAATGATAAAAAATTAAGGTTTTTTTCACAAAGGGTTTGAATCAGTCAGTAGAAAAGAAAAGCACATAGCACCTGCAAAATTATTTAAGAATATGAAAAGTTCTCGCAATGTGCTTATATTACCATTCTTAAAACCGGGTCATGGACCTACAGAACAAAGACCAGTAAGAATTATTTTTGTGGTCTAATGAATTGGCCATTCATTCTTGTTTATAGCTAAGTGGCTTAAAACCCACCAAGGAATACCTCTATTGCCACAATACCATCAATGCACAAAACTGGAAGAAGAAGAAGCTTCACTTCAGTCTTAGTAGCAGGCAGTAATTTCAATAAAGGCAGAAAATTTGGATGGCTCACAGAAGTACTCATCAAGATGGTTTGTATGGAATGAACCACTATCAGTTCCAGGAGAAAACAAGTCAGCATTTTTAATTGAAATTACTTGCAGCAACACTGTAGGGTTTTGGTTGGTTTTTTTTTAAAGTTTCTCTCTAACAGCAACTAATGTTTACTTCCCTGAAACTTCCCAGATGACTTTGAATCTAAATTTACTTTCCATTCTGTGGAAGATTTTCCCCCACCTGATGAATTCAAGCCATTTCAGAAAATATATCCCAGCAAGATAGCTAGAGGTAAGTGTGTAAACATGAAAAGATCTGATAATTATCAAGAGGATTAAAAATGGGGAGGGAAAATAAAGAACAGAACTAGCATTAAGGTAACTGGGCTGCTAGCGTAGGCACAGAGAGAAATGGGATTTGTCACAGTGGCAACAGAGACCAAAGATATAATGAAAAGCACTTAATTAATTACTTTAAAGACTTAGCGGCTAAAAATAAAATGTGGCTGGACAGGCAGCCTCTATTTTTTAGACTGCTGAATTTGCAAAGCCTTTGATGTTAAAAACAGTGATGCCGTAAAACAGACTTGGCCATCTACTGAGTTGGGTTTTTTGTTCATTAACTTGTGAAATCACAAAAAGAAAGTGACTCGGTCCATTTCTTCCATCGTGTGTTTTGATTTAAATCCTATGCATGGTAGTAACAAAGGGACTTAGTACCTGAACCTTGTCAGGAAAGTGATAAATGGCTGAACCTTGCTTTTTACTTCTCCCCCTGTAACTTAGAAACATAGCACCAGGTCACTGTTGTAAGAGCAGAAGTTCACCTATCCAGCTTTGACAGTGGGTAGTTGAAGGTGCCAAAAGATCTCATGCCCATATTCTGCTTTTTATAAAACCCATATTCTGTATTATTAGATCAACTATTTATCTCCAACTTTTAATTAACCTGTTTGTTTGTTTCCGTGCTAAGGTATTTTGCATGACTTGACAGCCTCAGTCAGTCTGAATTGTCTGATGTATGATCTGATCTGATCAAAGACTTGTTACTGAAGGGCTACAGAACATGAGCAATATGTTTGTGTCTGTCTGTATATATATATCTATATATCTATATATCTATATATATATATCACATGAGAGGTAGCAGATAAATGCAGCATCCCTGATGTATAACTGCATCCAAAATACCTATAAAAAAAAAAAATATCTCCTCTTATTAAATCTGTCCTATCTATTTACAGATCCTTCTAAAAATCCTCCATTAAGAACACATGTGAGATGAGAAGAGTCTGCTGATGCTCTCTGGAAGAGTATTAAAAAAGAACATCGAGATAATATATAAAATAGAAGTGGTCCCCATTGCAGTGATAGTGATTGTATTTGAGTCACAAGTACTGCAATGTAAACATTTCTATGAACTGGAAAAATGGTGTAAATGATACCTTTTTAGCTGCCTACATACTACAGGAATGTTAGTACAGGCTTTTAAATTATTGTAAATAGGTGGATATTTTTTAAGCAAAGCAGCACAAAATTTAAGTTATTTGTAGTGTTGAAACAATTCTCATTCTTATAATGCTGACAATGTTATCTCAGAATGTTTTGCATTACATGCCTGTATTTCTTTTTTCCCCTTTCATCATAATTTTTAAGTATTTTGGAGATTCTCCAGTTATTATTCAGACATTTTTTCAATGAACTGTCAAACTACTGTACTACCTTTAGTCTGTTTTTATGTTCCTTCGCTTCTATTCTGCCTATCCTCAGATTGCAGCAGGATGCCACTTTCATGAAGGGACAGGTCCACAATCCTTCTCTCATCAAGCATGAAGAGGAGATGACAAGGAGCTGTGGCTGCTGTTGAGCCTGTCTCCTACTGATTACAGATCCTTATAGGATAGTATCTGAAGAAGACCAGCCTGGGTAGGGTGGTCATGGATTTGACAAAGATGACAGAACTTCTCCAAAGTAGAGGAAAAGAAAGTTGCTATATTGTAAGCAAAAAAAAAAGGTGTGTGTGAATACATATACCACAATGTATGTATGTAAGGGCACATGTCCTGTCTTTTCCTGCTGGCAAAGTGGATATTTACTGTCACATATCTGTGAGAGTTTGCCTTTACTCAGCAATTACGAGGCCATTGGATGAGAGGTCCAAACCCCACATTTTAAACAGGCAACTAGAACTACTGTTGTTCACCTGCAATGAGGATTCATTGTCCAAAACACACCACATGGAAGAAGCAGTCCCCAAAGTGGTTGTCTTGGAGAAAGTTGGTCGGGAAAAGTAACAACCTAGCAGCAGACAAAACTGAAGTTCTGCTTTTAATATTCAGCTAGGGGTAAGGTCCTTGGATCACAGATGTTCAGATCTGGTCCTAAGATGTCTATTTCTCACAAGGATTACACTTACTCCTGTGCATTTCCCTGCATTAGGAGGAGTGGTGCCAGATTGAGGGAGGTGATCCTTCCCCTCTACTCAGCACTGGTGAGGCCACACCTGGAGTGTTGTGTCCAGCTTCTGGGCTCCCCAGTGCAAGGGAGACATGGCCATACTAGTGAGAGTCCTACAAAGGTGATGAAAGGACTGGAGCATCTCTCCTATGAGGAAAGGCTCAGAAAACTGGGGCTGTTCAGCCTAGAAAAGAGAAGGCTCAGGGGGGACCTCTTCAATGTGTATAAATACCTGAAGGGATGGTATAAAGATGGAGCCAGTCTCTTTTCAGTGATGCCCAGTGACAGGACCAGAGGCAATGGGCACCAGCTGCAACAGAGGTAGCTCTGGCTGAACATCAGGAAACATTTTTTAATTGTGAAGGTGACTGAGCACTGGCACAGGTTGCCCAGTGACATTGTAGAGCCTCACTCCTAAAGATACTCAAAAACTATCTGCACTTGGTCCTGGGCAACTGGCGCTAGCTGACCTGCTAGAACAAGGAGGCTGGACTAGATGAACTCCAGCCATCCCTTTCAACCTCAAACACTCTGATTCCCCCTTTTACAGCTTTTCTGAGTTCCTACACCTGGGTCACAATAACCCCTGCAGTGCTACAGGCTTGGAGCAGAGTGGCTGGAAAGCTGCCTGGCACAGAAGGACCAGGGGGTGCTCATGGAGAACTGGCTGAACATGAGCCAGCAGTCCAGGTGCCCAAGAAGGCCAAGAGCATCCTGACTTGAGGCTCAGGGAAGACCTTATTGCTATAATCTGAAAGGAGGCTGTAGTGATGTTGGGGGTCAGTCACATCTCTCAAGTAACAAGCCACAGGACAAGAGGAAATGGCCTCAAGCTGTGCCAAGGAAGGTTTAGATTAGATATTAGGAAAAACTTCAAAGGGTGGTCAGGCATTGGAACAGGCTTCCCAAGGAAGTGGTGGAGTCACCACTTAAATATGGGGAGGTATTTAAAAGATGTGTAGAGGTATTTAAAAGATGCACTTGGGGACATGGTTTAGTGGTGGACTTGGTAGTGCTGAGTTAACAGTTGAACTCGATGATCTCAAATTTTTTTTCCAACCTAAATGATTCCATGACTCACCAACTTGAGAAAGGACACTGCTGTTCCAGGGTGAGTCTGGTGCCAACAGCAAGGCTATTTACAGTTACGGCAATAATTTATATAATTGCCACCAATTCCCCTCAGTTACAGCTGTAATAATGTTATAGATCACAGGTGATCTTTCCCTATGGTGTTGCCTTTGAACAAAACTATTTGGAAAAGACAAGTAACTGCAGCTTTATATATCTCTGCTTTTCTTTTGTAGCAGCTCAGTTGTGCTGTAACTTTATTTCCACACATAGTGTGAGATGGTGTTAAGAGTAAAAAGCACTTCACCTGTAGGACTATAAGAAAGCAGCATTAGTCTTTTTCTAGCCTATTATGATACCTTGCTGTATATCATGGGAAAAGAAAAAAAAATTGGTGATGCTTTGACCAATACTCTCACTGTCATTATTGTAGTTACTTGATAAATATGCATGAATACAGTAATAAGCAGGGGTCTGCATATACATTGCTTCTCAAACAACTGGAAAAGTTTAATAGTGCTTTAAAGACTATTTTGTTATAGTACTATTAAAGGTGATGTTTTGTTGGTTCTCACTTGTTCTGAAACTTGTGTACTGCTCTGTAATGAGTAACTTCATAGGGATTTTAAAACTATTTAATGCTAGACTATCTGCCAGAAGTTATTTGAAGAAGAAAAAAATTCATTTTTGTTATGCTTCAGGCATTTTAGAAGCAAGCAACATCTTTCAGGGATTAAATTAGAAATCCTGTGCATATTTGCAAGCATTGGTGAAATGGTATTTCCATATTTGTATCATTCAAGATCCATTGAAGCTTCTGGAGTTGCTGTTACCTGGAGATACAAAGAATCACAACTGACTGTCACCCTACAGCAATTGTCCCACAAGTCCTATTGAGCCACAGCTGTGCTCAAGACCACTGAAATTGTTAAGACCATGGGGTTGCTCTGGTTTCTAATGATTGCACCCAACTATGTTGCTGTAACACAGTATATGTTTTTTAAAAAGCTCTACACTACTGAAGCAAAAGCAACACAGTATTAGAAAATTACTACCTGGATCTCTGTGCTCAAAACAATTTATTAGTTCTGTCATATAAGCACTTCCAAGGACATAAACTCCCACAACAACGTAAGTGCAAATGTCAGTTTCTTCTGTCTTAAAAAAACAGGCAAATAAGATATATTATGTTTTTAGCAGGAACACCTTTCATCTTGCCTCCCTCCCAACTCTCAAACGTCAGAAATCCAAGTTGTGCAAAATAGCTGTGTGAAGTGACCCTCTGACTGGGGCAGTCATTTTATCCCTGTTCTCTCCTTGTTCACAATATCCACCAACAGCTGGATGCAACAACTTACAGAAGCAGAAGCAGCTTTAAAATTCACCATGGTGTGTGTTAAGTGTACTCTGATTAGGAGTATTTTTATTCAAAGTACCCTCTCATTCCAGAAGTGATTCCATGGGAAATCCATTCACTTTACTTACAGGCAGCTGGCAAAAGCACACTTCTCTTTCAGAGGGTTTCATCCAGCACAATACCCTCTGAAATGAAGTGTGCTCCTTGTAGTCAGTCCCTATCCTGGCTATGGTAGAGAGCAGCTAAGTTTCAGGGTTTACTTGTGAATTTTCTCCTTCCCTTGTCTCCACTTTCAGAATACCTAGGCACAGGAGTTGGTCCTGTAAAAGAGAGCATGGGAGGAGTGTATTGTGAAAGAGAGATTAGTAGGTAGGACTTAAGAAAAAATATCTTCATGCTTGTTTTCTGTAAGCAAAAAGGCCCAATGTCTTCTTGTCCAATTGCCAGTTGTCATATAAGGCAATATCAAAGTAATGAGTCTGAATAGAACAATTTCATTTAGAAAATCCTGAGAATGCAGTGCACCAATATGGCAATGACTATTTCCCTGATGCACAACTCTTACAGTTTCAAGTTGAGGTGTTGCTGCCTTCTAAGGAGCTTTTGCTTCCTCAATACAGAAGTCCATGGTTCTTCAGCATCCACTTTCCTGAACAGTGAAGGATTTTAATTCCACGTGCTAACTTCCACTTATTAAAGACATGGACTTGTCTGAACCTCCTGTTTAAACAAAAACCCAAACATCTTCATCAGACACAGGAAGCAGTGTTTACTGGTTTAATTCTCAAAGTGCTTGCCCTATTTCACTTCCACAAGAAGAAAATACATGAAAAGCAGGTCTGCCTGTAGGACTGTCGGGGAAGGGAAGCATGCTGCAGAACTGCACTTAATGTAAGGAAGCATAACACAGCCATTTCTAAGCCTAACCAGTTGGACTGCCACACCCACCAGTAACTCACTGGTACTGAGTGGATTCATCAGCCATGTATCTCACCACAGAGATGACTAGGAACTGTTCAGCAGTACAAAGGGAGAAAGATGGAGAACAGCCAGGTATTGATCAATGTCCATCCAGCATTCCTTCAAAAAATTCCAAATTTGTAGCTTGCATATAAATTCAACACCTCATTAATTGCATCTTAGGAGCCAACAGATTATGTGTAGACGTCTTGGCATCCAGGCTGGCTCTGCATTTCAGTACTTGGTACTAGCACAGCAGCCAGGTGCCCTAAGCTAAGCGAAGGCAAAACTTAACCTGGGAGACTTGGTTCTGATCATTTGTGCAGGCATTATGTCAGGTGCTGAATTGCTGTAATCAGATATGCCCATTTGAGGCCAGCACAAGGTCGAGAACCAGGACTTACCCTCCTGCCTGCCTGCAAAACCGGGATTTGAACTCCACCATTCTCTGTATGAATTAGCAAGAAGAGAAAAATGCAAGTCAGCTTTGCTGCAAGTCCTGAGCAAAGGAGGGAAAACCAGATTGCTTTCAAAAACAATATGGAAGTTAGCCTGATGAAGTTAATCTTTGCTTTAATTGGTTGCCCAACATACACGTTTAAACATTCTGTACTAAATTAGCCAGCATGCACACAGTAATTGGACCAGTCAGTGACTTTCTCCTTTCACTATATACATACACAGAAACACCACAAGATTGGACAAAGGAAAGCAATTTGTTAACCGGATACAGCTAGCAAGTAACATTTTTTCCTCTAGAAATGTTTTTTCCTGCAAATTCACAAGTGTGAAGACTTTCTTTCAAGGCTTGAAGAACATTGCAGTCTTCCAGTGAAAAGGCTAACAATAGCCACCACAGCTGAAATGAGATAAAATTCGTTGAAAATCCATTCCAAGCAAGAGTGAAATTGAAAAAACAGTTGTCTGCAATGCAGCATAGGGAAAAGGGACTTTAGAGATCATTTGAGCAGGTAGAAAGGTGGCTTTGGACCCGATTCTGAACACCCTTAGCTTAACGCAAAAGAGGAGGAGATGCAGAATCGGATCCAATATTTCACTGGTACCAAAAACTCAGTATCTAAAGAATTAAAGTGTTTGCTTACTTTATTTGAAGAACTTTAGTTCTGTGTCAACACAGTCATAGAAAAGATCCACTACTTCAGCAGGATCCAGAATCTCTGTACGAGAAAGGATATCTTCCATTGCTTCTAAACCTTGTTTTTCAAGGTCTAACATAATCCTCATCAGTTTCTGACCTTTATCCTAAAGGCATGAAACAACCAAACTCAATTAACCAGCAAACAGGCTCATTAAAGCATTTTATTGCTCTCTTCTGTTACAGAGATAGTTTCAAATATTTTTAAATATTAGAAAGCCCTTTTAAGTACAAACTATTTCTATTATTGGTTTTTTGGATGCCCAAAGACTAAAAGGAACAGTACTGAACACTTTGTGCATTAAGAAAAATAACAAAGAAGGAGTTGCTAAGTTGAAAGCAAAGGAGGAAGATGGTGAAAGATGGATAGAGGAAAATGGTACAATGCTTGTACATATGACAAAGAGGTAAAGCAAATTCTTAAGCCTGTAAGCCCACAAACAGAACTATATGAGAAGTCTAGAAGCCTTAGGAATTGTACAGATGGTGGTATTTATATGTGTATCCCTGAAATCAACACCTGCACCATGATGAATAGATCTGAAATGATGTGTCATGTAACAGTACCAAGACTCCACATCCTGGGGAAGGCTTTGTGTACCATTCTGATGTACTGCTCTCCATGTTTCTAGAAAATTCATGTTTCAAGAAAATTCACTCCTGGAAGAGGTATCATTTTGTTTTATCCAGATATTATTTAAACTCTACCTTTTTCTCTTTTTTTAATGGAGA